ATGGGTGTATGGGGCAGTGTGTGGGTGAGAGGGTTGTCTGTATGGGTGTATGGAGCAGTGTGTGGGTGAGAGGGTTGTCAGTATGGGTGTATGGAGCAGTGTGTGGGTGAGAGGGTTGTCTGTATGGGTGTATGGAGCAGTGTGTGGGTGAGAGGGTTGTCAGTATGGGTGTATGGGGCAGTGTGTGGGTGAGAGGGTTGTCTGTATGGGTGTATGGAGCAGTGTGTGGGTGAGAGGGTTGTCAGTATGGGTGTATGGGGCAGTGTGTGGGTGAGAGGGTTGTCAGTATGGGTGTATGGAGCAGTGTGTATGGAGCTCATTAAGATAGCTTTAAAGAATATATATATATATGTTTTATGTATCCTTCCGAGTAAAAAGTAACGGTGCTATGCGAATGGATACTTAGGAAGACTAATGAATACTCTGGGAGATCTATTAGTACATCAACTGCGTTATAGAGAGATCATTACGAAGTCTAAAAATTCTCCTTATCTCACAGTAATCCCCTGAACACTCATGTATGAGGAGATTACCTCACAGTCATCCCCCTGAACACTCTTGTGTGAGGAGATTACCTCACAGTCATCCCCCTGAACACTCATGTATGAGGAGATTACCTCACAGTCATCCCCCTGAACACTCTTGTGTGAGGAGATTACCTCACAGTCATCCCCCTGAACACTCATGTGTGAGATTACCTCACAGTAATCCCCCTGAACACTCATGTGTGAGGAGATTACCTCACAGTAATCCCCCTGAACACTCATGTGTGAGGAGATTACCTCACAGTAATCCCCCTGAACACTCATGTGTGAGATTACCTCACAGTCATCCCCCTGAACCCTCATGTGTGAGGAGATTACCTCACAGTAATCCCCCTGAACATGTGTGAGGAGATAATCAGATACCTCACAGTATCTCTGATGGACATCTCTCTTTTCTAATTCTTTCAGTTTCCGTCTAATTTTCAACCTCTCTTATTTTCTTAATTACTCCCAATTTCCATCCTACCCTCATTCCCTCCTTCCTTTCCTAATTTCTTGAATTCCTTCCTTCCCTTCTTCCTCCCTCCATCCCTCGCTTCTTTCCTCTCTAACTTTCTGCCAATTCCATTAATCAATCCTCTCTTGCGCCTCCATCCCTCTTATTGCCTATCTCTTCCACACACCATTTGTTATCAGCATTCCTTATTCCTATTCTCCGCTGTATGAAAACGCCGGAACTGATTACCAGCGAGAAAATTGCAGGATTGACGGTCCCTTCCTCTCTCATTAGGCAACAGTCAACTTGACTGTTTCCGCGTAGTTGAATTCAGTCATATTGCATTTTTCTCTCCTTGGGCAAGGGAAAATGTCTCTCTCATTTGCATACGTCTGTGTATTTCACTCACTCTTCTAATCCACCCGGGGATTTGTTAATCTAATTGCTTTTTAAGCTTATTTTTGGGAAAGATATTATGAGAAATGTGAGAGGGTAATATATATAATTATTGGATAAAGGGTACGTTGATTATTAGTGTATATTTCATATATTATATCTTTCTCTCTTACCAACACACATACACATTATTTCGGTCAATTTCTCTTGTTTTCCTAAACTGCACTTACACTCGCTTTTACTCATTCACTCACACTTTACTAGCACTTGAATCATCTTCCAGATGATGTAGAATCATTCCTCTCATTGTTTGCTGATGACGCAAAATTATGAGGAGGATTAAGACGGAGGAAGATAGTATGAGGCTACAAGATGACCTAGACAGACTGAATGAATGATCCAACAAATGGTTACTAAGGTTCAACCCGAATAAATGTAAGGTAATGAAACTAGGCAATGGAAACAGGAGGCTAGACACAGGATACCGAATGGGAGATGAAGTCCTTCATGAAACGGATAGAGAGAAGGATCTGAGAGTTGATATCACGCCAAACCTGTCACCTGAAGCCCACATCAAAGAATAACATCTGCAGCGTATGCGAGGCTGGCTAACATCAGAACTGCCTTCAGGAACCTGTGTAAGGAATCATTCAGATCCTTGTATACCACATATGTAAGACCAATCCTGGAGTATGCGGCTCCAGCATGGAGCCCGTACCTTGTCAAGCACAAGGCGAAGCTTGAAAAAGTTCAGTGGTATGCCACTAGGCTAGTCCCAGAACTAAGAGGCATAACTTACGAGGAAAGGCTGCGTGAAATGCATCTCACGACACTGGAAGACAGACGAGTAAGGGGAGACACGATCACTACCTACAAAATTCTCAGAGGAATTGACAGGGTAGATAAAGATAAACTGTATAACACGGGTGGTACGCGAACAAGGGGACACAGGTGGAAACTGAGTACCCAAATGAGCCACAAGGAACGTTAGAAAGAACTTTTTCAGTGTCAGATTAGTTAACAGATGGAATGCATTAGACAGTGATGTGGTGGAGGCTGACTCCATACACAGTTTCAAATGTAGATATGATAGAGCCCAGTAGGCTCAGGAATCTGTACACCTGTTGACAGTTGATAGACGGGACCAAAGAGTCAGAGCTCAACCCCCGCAAGCACAACTAGGGGAGTACTCACCTTCACTCACTTATTCACCCCTACAATGCATAACTCCAAACTCCCGAAACCTTGCCAGACGCCGGTCTCTTGCCACCAGAATTTCCAGACTCAGAATTATCGCTTTAATCCAGAGTTTCCAAAGTTTTCACGAGGAGACATAGGAACAGCATCATCATGGGAGGAACAGCATCATCATGGGAGGAACAGCATCATCATGGGAGGAACAGCATCGTCACGGGAGGAACAGCATCATCACGGGAGGAACAGCATCATCATGGGAGGAACAGCATCATGGGAGGAACAGCATTATCATGGGAGGAACAGCATCATCACGGGAGGAACAGCATCATCACGGGAGGAACAGCATCATCACGGGAGGAACAGCATCATCACGGGAGGAACAGCATCATCATGGGAGGAACAGCATCATCACGGGAGGAACAGCATCATCACGGGAGGAACAGCATCATCATGGGAGGAACAGCATCATCATGGGAGGAACAGCATCATCATGGGAGGAACAGCATCATCATGGGAGGAACAGCATCATCATGGGAGGAACAGCATCATCACTGGAGGAACAGCATCATCACGGGAGGAACAGCATCATCACAAGAGGAACAGCATCATCACAAGAGGAACAGCATCATCATGGGAGGAACAGCATCATCACTGGAGGAACAGCATCATCACGGGAGGAACAGCATCATCACAAGAGGAACAGCATCATCACAAGAGGAACAGCATCATCACGGGAGGAACAGCATCATCACAAGAGGAACAGCATCATCATGGGAGGAACAGCATCATCATGGGAGGAACAGCATCATCATGGGAGGAACAGCATCATCATGGGAGGAACAGCATCATCACAAGAGGAACAGCATCATCACGGGAGGAACAGCATCATCATGGGAGGAACAGCATCATCACAAGAGGAACAGCATCATCACAAGAGGAACAGCATCATCACAAGAGAAACAGCAGCATCATGGGAGGAACAGCATCATCACAAGAGGAACAGCATCATCATGGGAGGAACAGCATCATCATGGGAGGAACAGCATCTTCACAAGAGGAACAGCATCGTCACGGGAGGAACAGCATCATCATGGGAGGAACAGCATCATCATGGGAGGAACAGCATCATCATGGGAGGAACAGCATCATCATGGGAGGAACAGCATCATCATGGGAGGAACAGCATCATCAATGGAGGAACAGCATCATCACGGGAGGAACAGCATCATCACAAGAGGAACAGCATCATCACAAGAGGAACAGCATCATCACGGGAGGAACAGCATCATCATGGGAGGAACAGCATCATCACTGGAGGAACAGCATCATCACGGGAGGAACAGCATCATCACAAGAGGAACAGCATCATCACAAGAGGAACAGCATCATCATGGGAGGAACAGCATCATCATGGGAGGAATAGCATCATCACGGGAGGAACAGCATCATCACGGGAGGAACAGCATCATCACAAGAGGAACAGCATCATCACAAGAGGAACAGCATCATCATGGGAGGAACAGCATCATCACAAGAGGAACAGCATCATCACAAGAGGAACAGCATCATCATGGGAGGAACAGCATCATCACAAGAGGAACAGCATCATCACGGGAGGAACAGCATCATCATGGGAGGAACAGCATCATCACAAGAGGAACAGCATGATCACAAGAGGAACAGCATCATTACAAGAGAAACAGCATCATCATGGGAGGAACAGCATCATCATGGGAGGAGCAGCATCATCACGGGAGGAACAGCATCGTCACGGGAGGAACAGCATCATCACGGGAGGAACAGCATCATCATGGGAGGAACAGCATCATCATGGTAGGAACAGCATCATCACGGGAGGAACAGCATCATCACGGGAGGAACAGCATCATCATGGGAGGAACAGCATCATCATGGGAGGAACAGCATCATCACGGGAGGAACAGCATCATCACAAGAGGAACAGCATCATCACAAGAGAAACAGCATCATCATGGGAGGAACAGCATCATCACGGGAGGAACAGCATCATCACGGGAGGAACAGCATTATCATGGGAGGAACAGCATCATCACGGGAGGAACAGCATCATCACGGGAGGAACAGCATCATCACGGGAGGAACAGCATTATCATGGGAGGAACAGCATCATCACGGGAGGAACAGCAGCATCACAGGAGGAACAGCATTATCATGGGAGGAACAGCATCATCACAAGAGGAACAGCATCATCACAAGAGGAACAGCATCATCACAAGAGAAACAGCAGCATCACGGGAGGAACAGCATCATCACCAGAGGAACAGCATCATCACAAGAGAAACAGCAGCATCACGGGAGGAACAGCATCATCACAAGAGGAACAGCAACATCACGGGAGACCATTACAGCATGGTCCAAGAGCTGCCTCACATTGCCTTAACGTATAACGGACACTGAAGATGGAATCACACTCTTATATCTGGGCTTATACTACCAGGGTATATCCAGACCTAGTGAGATAGCCCGGGAGGTGGAGTTGGATATCCTGCAGGATAACATATAAGGTCTCCAGACATAGAAGAAGGTCGCCACTAAAGGTACACAGTTAGCAGAGCTCGTGGCAGAGGGAGGGGCGACTATGATTAAAGAAGCACCATACAGACTCCTGATCTCAAAGCTGCAGCTGAAAACTATTGTGGGGGAAATTGAATGGTTGTTAGTCGATCACCAATGCATGAAGAACTCTTCCAACTATCTTGAGGTTATATTGAGATGATTTCGGGGCTTTTTAAGTGTCCCCGCGGCCCGGTCCTCGGCCTCCACCCCCAGGAAGCAGCCCGTGACAGCTGACTAACACCCAGGTACCTATTTTACTGCTAGGTAACAGGGGCATAGGGTGAAAGAAACTCTGCCCATTGTTTCTCGCCGGCGCCCGGAATCGAACCCGGGACCACAGGATCACAAGTCCTGTGTGCTGTCCGCTCGGCCGACCGGCTCCCTATACTAAACGAAACATCTTGAAAAAAGACGAATGTTTATACATTCTCATGTCCACTTGGGGACTATCAGGTCTAACAATCTCAATATATAGACAAGACAACAACATCTCTTCCACCTCAAAGATCACATCGTCTGTACACGACCTGTCAATCAATAGATAATCTATAGATACATTGAAAGTAGATTTAATATAGCCAAATTTATTGACACGAACCATTCACTTAAGCTTACACTTAAAGTTAAGTCCTACCAGCTGCAAGACCAAGACCGAGCAACTAATGTGCAACACTTCTGTTGCAGCCGACCGATGAGAGTGTATTGGTAACCGCACCTTCATACCTGCATATAATGTATGCTATTGTCTCTGCCAATACGTATTCAATTTTCCTCTGCCTCCGAAGATGAGTCAATGTCCTTCAGCGAAACACATCCTTTAGCAACATGCGTTGGGCCATTTCAAAGAAATTTCTGTGTTTTTCACACACACACACACACAGCACAAACACTTACACTCCCACGACGCACTCAACCCTCACTCAACGCACTAGACACCAGCTGCCAGTTCTATACACTACAAATCTGTGGTCTACAGGAAACTCATTTTTTAATCCCAGACTAAGGTATCCCAGACACTACGATCTCAACTCCAGCAGCTCCTCAAGTGAAGGGAATTGAAACCCCCTGCTAATAATATTCCCTAGGGCAAATAACGAGAGAAAACTTCGATGAGTCCTCGCCTGACTTCGAGTGCTACTCAGACTCCAACGAAATGAGCCGGGGGAAAAATTTCTGTCCTTCAATCATTCGTCGTCGCCGTAATACCCAGCAGTAAGGGATTTAGCTGCAAAAATCCTCGAAGCTAATCAAAGTTTTCAGGGCTTTTGCGGCTCCGATCTTTATTTATTCCTTCATTCCACTTTCAATTTTTTCTGCTTCTGCTCCGTCTTCGTTTTTAGTGGCGCCGGTGTGTGTGTGTGTGTGTGCTTGTGTGTGTTTGTGTGCTTGTGTGTGTGTGTGTGTGTGTGCGTGTGTGTGTGTGTGTGTGTGTGTGTGTGTGTGTGTGTGTGTGTGTGTGTGTGTGTGTGTGTGTGTGTGTGTGTGTGTGTGTGTGTGTAATTACCTAAGTGTAATTACCTAAGTGTAGTTACAGGATGAGAGCTACGCTCGTGGTGTCCCGTCTTCCCAGCACTCTTTGTCATATAACGCTTTGAAACTACTATGTGTGTGTGTGTGTGTGCTTGTGTGTGTTTTTACTAGTTGTGTTTTTGCGGGGGTTGAGCTTTGCTCTTTCGGCCCGCCTCTCAACTGTCAATCAACTGTTTACTAACTACTTTTTTTTTTTTTTTTCCCACACCACACACACACACACACCCCAAAAGCAGCCCGTGACAGCTGACTAACTCCCAGGTACCTATTTACTGCTAGGTAACAGGGGCACTTAGGGTGAAAGAAACTTTGCCCATTTGTTTCTGCCTCGTGCGGGAATCGAACCCGCGCCACAGAATTACGAGTCCTGCGCGCTATCCACCAGGCTACGAGGCCCCACAAAAATGTGTGTGTGTGTGTGTGTGTGTGTGTGTGTGTGTGTGTGTGTGTGTGTGTGTGTGTGTGTGTGTGTGTGTGTGTGTGTGTGTGTGTGTGTGTGTGTGCGGGTGGTTGGGTGTTTTATAACACATTACGTGGCTGTATCCACCACTGCTTCTCTCTGCAACCTCTACAACCTGATCCAAGCAGCAACTCTACACATCTCCTGGACGGCCAGTGGTCGCCCGTGACAGTGGCTGAGTGCTCAAAGTCTCCCACTTCCCCGTCGGATATTGCCCTTAAGGCTGGAGGTCCACCTCAGGGGGCGCAGGCCCCCCCCCCCCCGGAAGCTCCCCAGACTGGACACATCCCCCAGAGAGTCCTGGAACACGAGGGTGTCCCCCAACACACATCACAGTTTGTGCCACCAGAGCCAGGAGTCATCAAGCATTTACGAAACCTGTACATCCTTATACAACCATGATGATTTTGTTTACGTTTATTAAATAGTTTATGAGCTCTGGAACACTAGGAGGTTGTATTATAACAATAACAACCTCAGGTTGAGAATTTTCGAAGCTCATAAACTAATAAATGCGAACAAAGCCGCCATGATTAAGGAAAGATGAAGAGGTTTCGTAATTTTTGCAAATTCTTTGTTGAATCGTGGCCCTGGACAGGTTTAAGGAAACTGATAATGAGCGTTCGATCCCCACTGGTCCAAGTAGTTGGGTATAGTTCCTTCACTAAAATCCCGTATCCCAGTTAATATCCTGTATTTGTATCCCAGCTCCTATCTTATCCTCGTATCCCAGCTCGTATCCTGTCTTTGAATTCACCTAGTTATACTTGCGGGGGTTGACCTCTGCTCTTTCGGCCCGCCTCTTAACTGTTACTAGCTACTATGGTTTTTTTTTCACTCACACAGACACCCATGAAGCAGCCCGTAATAACTGCTAGGTAACAGGAGCATCAGGTTGAAAGAAACTCTGCCCATTTGTCTCTGCCGGCGTCAGGAATCGAACCCGGGCCACAGAATTACGAATCCCGTGCGCTGTCCACTCAGCTACCAAACCCCCTTATATCCCAGTATCCCAGCTCCTATGCTGTCCGCGTATCCCTTCCATGTGCTAAATAGCCAGACTGGCTTAGCACTTCTGATAATTGCCTTGAGGTAATCCCCTTCACTATGCACCAGCTGATAAGTGAGGCGACATTCCCTGAGTGCTGGTGATTTGTGTTTACTTAAATATTAGCGTGATTTGTCAACTTTGAAAACACTAATGATATGTATCGTAAAATAATTCCAGCAACTGTCTGGAATATATGTTCTCTCTCTCTCTCTCTCTCTCTCTCTCTCTCTCTCTCTCTCTCTCTCTCTCTCTCTCTCTCTCTCTCTCTCTCTCTCTCTCTCTCTCTCTCTCTCTCTCTCTCTCTCTCTCTCTCTTTCCCTCTCTCTCCCAAACGTAGATAACCAAACATCAATGGGTCCAGTCTCTAATTAATATTACAATCATTAAAACGTATTTTACTAACAGACAATGACTAGACAATCACTGTAACCAATCACAGTTTGTGATTTAATAAACTCATATACAAGAACAGTCTTAAACTGTAAATCTGCGACAGTTTGGCTGATGGAATCCTTACTACCATTCGCATTTTGTCACATATATGACAAAAGTCATATATGTGAATGACTAAAAGCATATAAAACATATATGGTTTTAGTCCTGACTGGGTTTATAAGTAATGAGTGGATTTACAAGTGAGGAAGAGGCATTCGGAGATGGAGACCAATTTGAATAGTAATTGATTCAATTTGCACACGTACAGTCGCATAAAATTGTCACTTTCCAATTTGCTGGATTTTCGCGTGTGTTGTCTCCAGCTAGGAAATGACGTATGTGGGTGTGAGTGCGTTACGTTGGAGATGACTGTTAGTGGTGAGTGCGTTACGTTGGAGATGACTGTTAGTGGTGAGTGGATTGCGTGTGATTGAGAGATGAATAATTGGTGACTGTCGATGTAATGTCTCTGAGTAACAGTTACTGGTGACTGTTGGAACTGACTTGCAAATGACAATACGTGTGTGTAAATGAAGTATTATTGCGTGAGCGAATGCGCTCATGTTTACTACATCAATCTCGCTTAGAATCTTGTACGTTGTAATCATATCTCCTCTGCTCCCTATTTCTTCCAGTGTGGTGAGGTCCAGGACCAGGATTCATCAAGCATTGCCCCAACCACTCACTAAATCTGTATATTTTTCCTTAATCATTGTTTTCATTTATTAAACAGTTTGAGCTCCGAAGGTTGTTATAAACAACCTCTCTCGAGGTTGTTTATAACAATAATAACCTTGAGTTATGACAATCGACTTGAGAATGGTCCAGGACGGACCGAAACGTCGTCGTCCCTTCACCTTCTAGTGTGTGGTCTGGTCAACATACTTTAGCCACGTTATTGTGACTCATCGCCTGCATTGAGTTGTGAAGTTTCGAAGCTCGTAAACTGTTTAATAAATGTCAAAGCCGCCACGATTAAGGAAAGATGCACAGGTTTCGTAAGTAGTTGCGTAAATACTAAATGAATCCTGCCTCTGATTCTAAAGATTTTCCTCGTATGTTTTCTTCTAATTTCAGAAACGACGAGTGTTGCATATCTCTATAGCTGTTCTAGTTTTAATTTGTGTTTTTATGAGTTGGAGATTCCACGTCTGTGCTGCAGACTATGTAACATGTCTCACGTAGGTTGTGCACCTTCTCTACAGAACCGTAACTGTCGTCAGCTCCCGCTCACCTCCTTACAAATAAGTACCATCAATTCGATTTATCGTGCATCCTGTAGTTTTCCTATTTAAGGACTGAAAAAGGTTGATTTAGTGGTTCTTTTCATCACTCGAGCGACTGATCTAAACTTT